ACTTTTAGCATTTTAAAAAACCCTTGGCCTGAATGGCAAGGGGCTTGGCCCGGCCTCCCAGCCACACGTTGCCACAGATCTGCTGCGTGAGCCCGCCGGTCCCTTCCCCTCCCCGCTGCAGTGTTCTCAGCACAGTGAGGTGCTGGCTGAGAGGACTGACAGCTCTCTCGGGCCCCCTACGGCTTTCCAGGCTCGGGAACCTACCATCCCAGACCTGCGGATAGAGACAGAGACACCTAGAGGCAAGCTGTGCCCACAGCGCTCAGTCCTACCCACAGACAATTAAATCACCAGCTCGGGTTTCTGCTCAATGTGTCCATCCCCCGCTGGCATAAAAGCTACAGGAAAAAACCTCGGGCAGAAAAGACATTCACTCCCTTACCAGCACCCACTCTGCACCAGGAGCTGTGCTGGGTGCTTTTCGAGAGTGTGCCCTGCTTTTACGGATGAGAAAATCCAAGTAAAACAAAACTGACGCTTACGACACTGGCTAGTACGTGCTGAGCACTGACAACGCGCCAGGCACGGCTTCTAGCATTCCCCACACAGTGAGTGACTTGCTCCGCGAAACAGAGTTGTTCGTGTCATTTTTGTTCCACAGATAAGGAAACCAAGACGCAGGGTTCAGTAAGTTGTCTGAGCAGGTAGTTTTGCTGGACTCGCCCCCAGGGGTCTGGTTCCAAGCCTGTGACTCAGCGCTAGGCTAAGCTGCGTCTCCGTGTGGAGGGGCTAAAGTAATGATCACTACGGTTGCAGGACCACCGTGCCACCAGGCGCTAGAGTTAAACATGTACGCACAGCATGACAGAAGAAGGGAAAGCAACGCAAAGCCTCGGACGGGCAGATGAAATCCGGGGGAGCTCAGAGCAGGCAGAGATCCCCTGGAGCACCGGGCAGCACACGCTGAACGGTGAAAGAGGGGTCGGCTTTGGACGCGAGGGGACAGGAGATGCAGGGAAGGGCACCTCCGACGGCAGGAACCGTGTAAGCAGAGGCACATCTTTGAGTTTAGCTGAAGGCATGGATTTGCAGAAAAGCATTCCCCAAACTGGGTTAGGCCAGGGAAACGGGTGTTACACAAACCAAACCCCTCTCGTTCATAAGTTTGGGGAACACGGAAGTCAACAGGGTCTGAATGGGGATTCCACAACTGTGGGATTTCTCAAGGTCTTGCGGGTGCTGAGGTGCCCGAGTGGCCGGGAAGCTCTGGCCTGCAGGAGGGATGACGCCTGGTTTACCTAGCAGCATCTCCAACGGGTCGGCTCTTTGGACGACAGGTGGCCGAGAAATAAGGCCTGTCACGGAAGAGGGCCCAGGGCCAGTTTCCTTTTTAGAAGACATGTGGACCCACTCCACAGTTTTGAGAGAGCTGAGCTGTGTTGACAGGCCAGAAATCTGAGCCCATTTCACAGGAAGGGGCTGGGGGGAACCTTCGGTCGGTCCAAGACTACAAATAAAAAAATAACCTGTCACACGGAGCCACTGGAGGCAGCGAGCGAGCGAGCGAGAGTGGGATCCTCACAACACTTTTAGACCGCCTTCCTCTCACACGCCCCCTCTCCATCTGTTGCAAAGGGCACCAGGCAGAGAGATGCAAGCAGGAATATTCCAGCGCTGGGGGCCCCAGAGCCCGGCAGCCCAGATGGGGGGCTCTGACGGGAGTCACATCGCTCCCCTGAGCTGTCATTCGCGAGGGCCGAGGGGCTGTCAGTGTTGCCACTGCCGGTGTATTTCCAGAGAAACGACTGTGACTCAGTTAAAAACTTCTGCTCCAGGAGGGACCTTTCTACAAACTTCCCCTGAAGCCTAGAGGGGGGTCCCTCTGGCTCCGTCCAGCTTGGACTAAGTGACACTGATTATAGCAGCACAAACGTCTTCCTTCAGACGGTACAGCTGGGAGGCCGGGATTCAAAATCCAGTCTCCCTGCCTTGGACACGCTACTTCTCCAGTTTGGGGCTCTACTTGCCTTATCTGCACAATGGTGATAACAGCCAACTCAGCCTCTGTTTGCTGAGGGAGGAGGCTATGCAGACAGGCCGTCAGCAAACAGTCTGGGATGCAGTTAACATGCAAAGAACCTTGGGCCTCCTCGCTTCTCTCCACACATGGTTCGCATCAGGACTTCACACTCGCTGAGTAGACAGCAAGTGGAGTGAATCACACCCTGAGTCCCCACGGGGTTGGAAAGGAATGATTAATGGGCAGAAGTACCCAAAGCCCACGTGCCTTTAAGACATTCTAGTAGCCTGAGCCCAAGAGGGCTAAAGCCCCTCCCCACGCTTCTCTTCATGTGAAAGAGGAAGTGAGATTAACTTCACCACTTAGGAAAGTACAGAGGAGGCATCGGCCTGGCCACCCTCTATCAAAAGGCCAGAGCTTCAGCAGAGGGCCCAGCTGTCCCCCCAAGTGTGAACCCCAACTTGGCCTTGCCTTCTCCAGACCAGAGCAAGGAGTAAATGGAAGCTCGTCTGAAGTCAGCCCAGCAGGTGACGTCCCAAGACCCAGGGAAGACCAAGACAGGAGGTAGCGGGCTCTGTCTCATGTGCGGCGCCTGCTCTAGCACCGGTCTGCCCAGGTGTCCCCATGTCTCCGTCCCCTGCCCTTCTGTCAGTCTCAGAATCTCCCTGGGTGATGCTGTTTTAAGAAACAAGCTTCACCTCGGCTCCGAGAACACAGGTTGGTGACTTCGCTGGCATCTCTTTAGAATTTCCCCGTGGCAGCACTTACACTGAAAGCAGTCTTTAGAAACTCCTTCCCCTGCCTCCCCCAAACACCAGGACTCCCGTGACCAGCGCCCCCCAAAAAGTGACCATGGGACCCCTCCCAGGCGGACAGTTGGGCCTGAGACACTAGGAGTCATTCAATGCAGAGCCACCTTCCTAAGCCTGACATTTGAGTTTCTTACCCAAACAAATCCATTTTCTTAGAAAATTGCGCAGCTGCCTCCTCCTACCTTTCTGTCCTTCTGTCCTGCCCTCCATTCAGTTTTGTCATATTTCACTCTTAGATCAACTGAGGAAGGGCCCGAAGCCCCACCCTTCAGCCAAACCATGTGAATTCTGGGCCAGCGCCCCGAGTGTGACCAGGACCCTGCAGAGCATAGAGTGAAGGATGTCGGGAGGCTTCAGCTGTGAGAGCGACAGCCCATCCCTTCCCTCACCACCCTCAGCCAAGAAATTTATTCTCACCTCCTAAGATTTATTTATTTCAAAGTTAATCTTGGCCCCTCTGCTGCTCCCACTTTTTCAGGCTATTGATGCTGAATGGATTGGAACGGAAGTTTTATGGCCTAATCTTTACCATTTTATAGATTGTTTTTATAGACAAAAGGGAGAGATTCTCCCACAAGAAGGGGTGGTGGTGTTCCCAGCCAGTGCCCTGGGGAAAGGCAGGCTGGCCACCTAAACACTTGTTAACCAGCTTCCTCACCGCTCATTTGCCAGAAACTGAGCCACAGGGTCCTAGTTGGAGAAGGGTCTGGAGCAGACATTTAGCAATTAACTTGGGCCCAGTTCTCTGCTTTAGGAACATGAAACACGTGTGAGAGATGCTCGAGCATTTCCAGGCCGGGAAGGACGGCAGGGCAGGGACTGGGACTCTGCAGGGTGTGCATGGCTGGCTCAGGCAGGAAGGAGCAGATCAGAGATGCCACTCACCAGAGATATGAAATACACCAATGCTTCCTTCCGCCCAGCAAGGACCCAACTGTAACTGAAAGACCCTGGGATGGAGGTGGGGATGCCTAGGTGGATCCCAGGGTCCAAGGGAGACTGCAGGGCAGAGAGGAGCAGCTGTTTACCCCCACTTCTCCCTCCACCCACTCTGTGCTAGTCCTCCCTTTCTCACTGCTTTCAGATGGTTACCAGTCTCCAGGCAAATGCAAAAGGGGGGAGGTGGATACTGAGCTCATCTTTGCCTCTTTCCTCAAGGGAGGGAGGTGCAGAGACCCCCTCTGCCAACAGCACAGCTTCAAGAAGCCAAAGCAGCTTCAAGAAGCCCAAAATCAAGATCCTCATTTCTTCTCCCCCACGGTACTCTTTAATGCCATTTCTTGTCCCCCTCGCTCTCCCAGGAGACGGGTGGTTTTGCAAAACCTCTTTAAGAAGCAGAACTCCTGAATGGTGACCTCACCCCTCGGTGAACACATGCCAGCCTTCAGAGCCTGCCTGCGGGAGGCAGCCAGGTGTTTGATGTAGGCCAACAACAAGACAGGCTCAGAGCCACAGGTAATAGCCTCACAGACCCCTGAACGGCAGGGAGCTGCCTGGCAGCCTGGGGAAGGCAGGAAGATGTGTGGTGTGGGGGGTGAGCAGCAAGGAGGAGGGCCATCGGGGAGAGGCTTTGGTAACCACAGGGACAATCCACGGTGCTGTCATATCAAGATCTGTTGGTCGCAGCAGCTCACCCCAGGGTTACAACGGCCTTCTTTCTCCCGGACACACACACACACACACACACACACACACACACACACACACACACACTAACACTGTCTCACTCTGCCCACCGGAGGGAATGGCTCTCCCCTTCCCTAATTGCAAGAGCCTGTTTCTGTCCCATCCCAGGCAATTCAATACCTGGAATACCTCTGCCCCTACTCCCTTCTCTCAGACCCTGAAAGCAAACCTGTGGAAAGCATCGGTCCTGAGAGACAAGCTCTTTAGCCAGGGAAACCCTGCTCCAAAAGCAGCTGACGGCCTGCCTCCCCGACCCCGCTGGGCAGGGGCCGGGTGAAGCAACTCATCTGGGTATGTCCCAGTGCCCAGCACAGTGGCACACAGTCAGAGTGGGGGGACGCGGGGTTCCATCCTTGGCTGTGTGACCTTGGGCAAGTCGCTGGCCCTCTCTTGGCCTCAGTTTTCGAATCTGTAACCCTGGTTACAGGCATCTCTACCCTTATTAGTGCTGACAGCCGAGTGGCTCCCAGCGACGGTCTGAGAGGCCTGAGCCCACAGTTTGGGGGAAAGGAGCGGTGGGGGGCGGGTGGAGGGGTGCTTACCTGTCCAGGTGCAGGACGCAGCGATCAGCAGCAGGAAGAGCAGCGGCCCGAGGCGGCCGGGGTCCCGGCCGGCGAGCTCCATGGGCCGCGGCTGCGGAGCGAGGAGGGAGAGCGGCCGTGAGTGCGCGCTCGGGCGGGCGCGGGCTGGAGCGGGGAAATGACTAAGCCCCCCTCGTCCTCTCCCTCCCCGCCCCCCCTCCCCCGGCGGCCGGGCTTCCCCCTCCCTCCCCGGAATGGGCGCCTGGAGCTGCTTAGGGGCCGCCCTCACCGCCGCGATTTTCGGAGCCACCCCACCACCACCCCACGGGAGAGATCGAGAGACTGACAGACCCGAGCGCGCGAGAAAGCAAGCTCGGGGTGGCCGGAGAGAGGCGACAGGAGAGGGAAACAGACCCGAGCCGGGGTAGCCAGGCAGAGAGCCAGAGACCCAGGGAGGCGAGAGAGGGGGAGAATGCGAGAGAAGAGTCGGGGGAGGGGGGAGACGGGGGGGGAGAGGGAGGGAGGGGGAGAGAGAGAGAGAGAGAGAGGAGTGAGCGAGGCGGCGCGCAGATCGAGACAGGCAGCGCGGGAGAGAGGAGGCTCTCGAGCCAGGGTCCAGGGCAGCTCGACCAGCCGCCCCCGCCGCTACCCACCTGCCCCGCCCGGACTCCTCGCGGCGCCCGCGGCTCGCCCAGCTCCCGGCCGCAGTCCGGGCTGTGGCCCCCGCCCGCCCGGCCGCGGCCCCGCTCCCTCCTCCCGGTCCCCCTCCTTCCTCCCGCCCGCGCGGGGGCCGCGGGGCTCCGGCCGCGGCGGCACCTCCCGGCGAGCGCCCGCCTGCAGCGCGCCCGGGGGAGGGGAGAGCGAGCGCCGGTGTCGTGCGCCCGGCGGGGAGGCCGGCGTCGCCCCTCGCCTGCGCCGCGGCGCCCACCCCCTCCCGGGTCCCCGGCAGCAGCCCCGGGAGGCGGCCCGCCAGCCCCTGCCGCCGGCGCACCCGGCTCGGGCTCGGGACTAGACCAGCCTCCGCCTCCAACAATGTGCCAGTTCAGAAGCCCGCGCGGCTGTCACCGGCCCCGAACCGCCCCCTCTCCTGTTCCCCTCCCACTGCCTGTCGGGCTCGGACCTGCGTCGCCAGCGAAGGCTGAAAAGCTGCGTGGAAGCACCGCCGGGGCTGCCCAGGGCCGGGCCCCCCGCTCCACTTTGCGCAAACTTGTTTTTCTAAGGTCGGCGCCGCGAGCTGGCTGCACCGTCCTCTTAAGGTGGACTGGGGAAGTTGCGGCCGGCGGCCCCTGCCTCCCGGCTCCCGGCTCCCGCCGCGGCTAGTGCCCGCTTCCCTCTGGCGAGAGGCTGCAGGCGGCGAAGGAGTGGGGGTGTGGAGGGGGCACGAGGGTGTCTGCTTTGCCCCTCCCCCAGTGGCCCTGCCCCTGTGCCCCAAAGCGGAAGGCCCCTGGAGGGGGTGGGCTTGGGCCAGAGGGTCTCCGATTCTTTCAGAGCTGGGCCTAGGTGAAGGACAAGCAGGAAGTAAGTGGATGTAAGGGAAAGGGGGGAGGAAAGAGAGAGTGATGGTACAAAAATAGCGTGTGTGTAGGAAGGACTTCAGTGCCGCCTGGAAAAGAGGCGCAGGGTGGAGAAAGCGAGAAGGGGGGGCTGTGGCCAGAGAAATAGAGGGGAAGGGTCCCTGCTCCCCTGGGGAGGTGGGCTCTCTCTGCCGGTTGCCTACCTGTCAGGGGTGGCAGATTCAGGGGATAGAGGAGAGAGGCGACTTGCGTGGGCTCCAGGAAATGACTGGCAACAAGAACAGGAGAGCAAAAGGGGAACAGAGGCAAGTGGCTTGGAGATGGAGAGGGCAGAGCCTCACTATCTCTCTGTCTTTCTGTCTCCTCCCCAGACCCCCTGGCCCTCTCACTCTCCCTCGTTCTCCTCCCCTTTCCTTGGAGCTAAGCTGGGTTTCCCTGGAGCAGCCAGGGACAGGAAGTGGGAGTGCTGGTCACCTGGCTGAGGTGGCTCTGAGCGGTGAGAGGGAAAGGAGTCCAAGACCCGCTGCTAATTGGAAGGTTTGGGGCTTGGAAATAAGCGATAACCAACTTTGAGAGGCAAGGCTGTTTCAGGAAATGGTATGAATGAAGCAACAAAGGACAGTCCTGACTGGAAAGGAAGTGGACTTGTCTAAGGCCATGGGCAGAAACAGGGTTTGAGTTCCTGATTCCTAGGCTAAGTAAAGACCTTTTGCAAAGCGACAACCCCCATTCCCATCTCAGCCTCCCTGTCCCATACCTGGTCTTGTGCTAAGAGAGAGACGGGCAGAATAGAGCTTTTAAGAGCATGAACTAGACTCCCCCAGGTTCAAATCCTGCCAGGTACCTCCTATGAGCTGCGAAGATTTGGGAAAATACTGTACCCTCTCTGTGCTTCAGCTTTCTCACCTGAAATGAGGCCAACTTGGGTGTCAACCTAAAAAGGCTGGTGTGAGGACTGGATGAATTAATATTTGTACAACACTTTAAAGAGTGCCTAATATGTCCCAAGTGCTACATAGCATCTGATCAGCAAGTTAAAGCATTTGACAACAGTCTTTGGGAGCCCAGAGGGTTCTGGGCAGTATTTGAAGTGCAAGGGTATTTTTTTTCTGTGGGTATGAGAAAAACAGGAGGGTCCCACACAATGTCCCTGTCTATGAGGCATTTACATTCTATGGCAGAGACAGATACGTAGAAAAGTAGAAATAATTAGTGAACAACAGAAGATTGAGCTCAGAAAGTGAGAAGGATGCGCTCATTTAGGTAAGGGTAAGGCCTTCCCCAGAAGCTGGGAGCTGAATCACAAGAAGGGGCGGCAAGCTGGGGATTTGGGGATTTGCTGTTCTAGAAAGAGAAAACAGCACAGATAAAGACCCTGGGGCCAGTGTGGCTGGAGGGCAATGAGTGGAGGATGGGGAAGAGCGGTCTAGCTGGTGGCCTTGCAGGCCTTAGTAAAAAAATGCTTTTGTTCTACAGATAGGAAACCACTGGGGTTTAAGGGGAAAGCCTGTGGTCTGGGCCATGTGTTTAAGAGGCCAGTCCAGCTGCAGGTGGAGAGTGGGCTACAGGTAGTGGAACATGGAATGAGGGTGCCTGGGAAAAGGTTGTTCTGGGGTCCTCCTAGTAGCAGAAGTGGGAGGTAGGGAGTCTCTCACTCTTCAGGACACATCTAGCAGAGACCATGAAGGTGGCCAGCTGAGACTCCTGGGAAAAATCCATCAGTGAAATCCATCTGGGGTGGGAATGGGGGCAGGGGCCACTGATGAAGTTCAAAGCTGAGGCCGACTCCTGGCCTGAGCTTCCAGGGAGAGGTCTCACCATTCACCATTCCCCAGGACACACACACACACACACACACACACACACACACACACACACCTGGCCTGGATTAGGAAACTGCGGATTAGGGAAGGATAATAATTGAACCACCTGCTATTTATATACAGCACCTCCAGCAAAGGCTCCCAGCAAGGCTTCCAACACTAGGGTGGTTTCATTTCATCTGCCCCAGGAGGAGGCCTAGGCCTTGTCCCCTTGATCCAGCAGCCATAGAAAAATCACCCCTGGCCAACCATTAGGGTTGGGGGGTCACTGAGCCCAGTGGGCGGCTGGGTATCCTGAGCTGGCAGACAATTGATTTGAGGTCTCACAGTGAGGTTATGGCAGATAATTGAGGTGAGTCAGCCGCCCCCACAGGAGGGCTTCTGGGCTGCCCTGGATTAGAACGGAATTGCCTCTTACCTGTCCAATTCCTCCGTGCACTCAGCCGTGCTGCTGACCGCACATCCACTGCGGCTGGGCTCTGTGCTAGGCACTGGGAATGCCACAGACGGGAAAACACAGACAAAAACTCCCGCCCCGAGGAACTGACATTCTGGTCAATTCACATAACAAGTAAACTGTGTGGTCTGCCAGATGGGGGATAAAGCTCTAAGGGGGAGGGTGGCCAGGAGGGCCAATGAGGGGAAGGGAGGTAAGTGAAGGCCTCTGAGGAGGTGATATTTGAGTGACTACCTGAATGATCCCCATCGGGAAGCTGGAAGCGGCTCCATGCCTGCATTGCTGTGACTCTTCTCTGTCACTCCCCAGTGCCATCTGTCAGCAGTACATGTCACTGGTTGGGCCTTCCCTTCACATCCAGAACCAAAGCACTTCTTAGCACCTCCATGGCTGCTACTGCCCTGGTCTAAGCCTATGGATCTCCCACCTGGGAACCCTCTTTCCAGCTTTGCCCTCCCCTTCCTCCATGTATTCTTCGCTCAGCAGCCAGAGGGACCTTTTTATAAAAGTCAGATCATGTCCCTTCCTTTTTGGAGAGAACACTGGAACGAGCAGGAGGAGAGGCGCACCAGAGGTACTAAAACCAAGACTCCGCCAATTTGACTTACGCAAATTGGGGAAAACTTTTTCTAGAGCCTCAGTTTCTTCATCTGTGAGATGGGAACAAGTCCCAGGGGCAGTACGGGTGCAGGTGTGAACGCATCCGCAGCAGAGCATATCTGGAGTTTGCCCCTGCAGGTGGGGTGATGGCGCCCCTGTGTGTGCCAGCCCCGTCTATATGCATCATCTCACTGAAGCCTCGGCAATGCCAGTGCGCCCCCAGAGCTGGGGAACAAGGCCAGAGGGAGAAAGAGACTCGACCAGGGCCGCTGTGCCAGGGCATGCAGGAACCTGCAGGGACCCGGCTCTGCCTGGCACCCGCCCTGCGCGGGCTCTGCCCTGACTTCCCGTAACCCTGGGCTAGCGTCAGCAGTCAGCCCTCCAGGCCGCCTTTGTGTGGGGCCTGTCAGGAGGCTGGAGCTGCCAATGACCTATTTTTCTGGGCAAGAGGAACCATTTGGAGTGAGAGGCCTCAGCTTTGGAGCCAGAACAATAAAAATAAAAACAGCAAGGACTCCTGGGCAGCCTGGACTAGGGAAGCAACAGCCCCTGAGAGGAGCTGCTGACAGTGTGGAGAGAAAGCAGGGTGGGTGCGGGAGGTGGGAGGGCCCTGACCGCGCCCCGCTCTGTTCTCTGACCTTTCTGTGGGTTATCTCCGGGCCCCGCGCCAGCCATTCGATAGCTGCAGACACCAGATTTCAAAGTGGCAGAGTGAGTTGCTGGGGACACACAGCCAGGGAGGGGCCCAGCCAGTTCGGTTGGAAGTCAGTTCTTCAGTTAACAATAGTTCCTATTTTTGTTCAGCATCTACTATACTTCCTAGATGTTTGTGTGACATATGCACACCACACCTGGGAGGAGGTGCTAATGATTCATCTTACAGGTAAGAAAATTTTAGAGCAAGGCCTCGGCTGATGGGTCACCTCCTCAGACAGGCCTTGGCAGACCACCCTGTTAAAGCAGCCGCCCCTGTGCTGTCCCAGCCCGAGGCAGTTTCACCCGCCCCAGGAAGGGGCCTGGCCCTTGTTCTCTTGGTCCAGCATCCACAGAAAAGTCACCCTAGAGCTCCACCCTGATGCACTGTATCCCCTTCCTCACGTTAGTCTGTCTTCACTGCATGTCCATGGCCTGCCAGGGGTGTGTTGCTGCTGAGTTTTGTCTGTCTCCTTAACCAGCCGCAGCTCAGTGTGGCCCCAAGGCCCAGCGCCCGGCTCTGAAAACACACCCACGGCTAAACTGCAGCCCAGCCTCGACTCAGCGGATGAGACAGGCTGCTGTGTCCATCTATGTGCCTTGCTCGCCCAGATTTGGGTATTGGTAGAACCTAAAGCCCTCTCGTAAGGGTTAAATGAGTGAATATAGGAATAATGGCTGGCTATTGCCATTGTTTGCTCCCAGCAGTGCAGCCCCAGGGCCTTCAACAGTAAAGAGTAGGTTCCATAAATATGCATTAATTTAAAAAGTGACCTTCCC